AACCACTTCGTCTGTCAAATTTAAGCAGTTACTAATATTCACCTTAACAAGACCTGCCTCACAGCTCTCCAAAAGTGGGAGAAGCCCCGCATCACTTATTCCGATGAGCCCACTCAGGTCTAGATGGTGTAGCTGAGGACACAACTTCCCGACCATAGCCAAGCTTGCACTACCAAAACCAGGGCAGCTCCGGATGGACAAGAATCGAAGAGATTTGCAAGGGGATAGCATAGTTGCTTCCAAAGGTAGATCCCTAATTCCCATGCATTTGACTAGGGCAAGTGACTTTAGCTTCGAATTACAGTTTGAGAGCGCACCCAAGATACCTGATTGGGTGATCCTGTTGCATTCTTCCAATTGAAGGCTCTCAAGAGATCCAGCAGATCTGGCAAAAGCTATGAGCCCCTTGTCCGATACAAAACAACATTTCCGAAGTGACATCTGTTTCAGGTTTGGACAACCCTTTCCCATGGCTTCAAGACTCACATCTGTTGTCCCCCGACATGAAGTGATTGTCAAGGACACAAGTTTCTGCAGACCCTGAGCATTACCCATGACCCAAAAGCCCTTCTGGCTCACCTTTTGAAGCTTACTGAGCACAAGATTGGTAATGGCCTTGCCATAGCGCCCAATTACCGCAAGAGAGAAATCTGTAATGTTCAAATCCTGAAGTTTAACCTTTGTCAAGACAGAAGTCGTCAATGACAAGAGACCCGCAACTCCTTGATCCCCAACAAGAGGGCAGTCCTTGATAGTAATGGAATGTAGCTTTTGGCAGCACCGTCCCACAGCTTGCAGGCTCCCATTCCCAATATTTGAACAAGATTCAATCGTTATAGCAGTCAAATTAGGGCAGTTCTCAGCAATTGCGATCACCCCCTTGCTGGAAATCAGAGGACACTGGCAGAGGTCGAGCTTCTCTAACAAGTGGCATTCCCTTGCTATGTTACACAAACCTTCGTCCCCAATTGAAGGGACATTCCACAACGAAAGAGTCCTGAGAGAAGGGCAACCATCAGCAATTGCTGACAGACCAAGATTGGTAACTCCTCGGATGGAGTTGCTTCCCCGAATCGAAAGCTTGCCAAGTCCCCCACGGCTGGCAGTTCCAACTGCAATAGCCGCAAGTCTAATATCCGTCGCTTTCTTCCCTTCCAGTGACCTAGAAAGGTGCCCATCACACTCAAATTCCAGATCTTCTTCAGCTGAAACAAATTTAATATCATTGAAAGACTCATCAATTGTATCTGCATCTGATCCTTCATGAGTGCTTTTGCTCCTGCAAATTTCAAAATTCCGAACACTACTTAGGAGCATAAGCCAACGCTTGGACACACAAGCAGAGGCACTCCTCGCTCGGCCTCCGGGCAGGCGTCTGAAGATCTCATATAGACATTCATTGGGAAGTGTTTCAATGGATGATTTCTTCTCCTCCTCAAACATGTGCCCTCCAAAAACAAACGGGCCGCTGATGCGTGACCGCTTCCGAGGAGGGCAGTAAACATTTGTATGAGAACCAATACATAACAAGAGGCTTGAATCTGCGGAACAAGCTGACCCACCAGTATAGAATTCATCATCCCCTGAAGATGCAATAACAATCACTCACATCAGCTCAATACATCTATAGAAATTTTTCAATGGGAACGTCTATAGAAATTTTTTAAGTTAAAACTAAAATCTCCTACTTAGGAAATCATCAGCACAATCTCATACCATAGGTGAATCCCAACCAGCAAACACAGAGATTCTAAAAAAATTTGTAGTTATTTTGTTTAAGAACTCATCCCCCTTCCTCTAAACAAAGGATAATGCAAAAATGAATCTAAATGAAGCAACCTGTAGCACTTATGTTTAATGCACCAAAATATGATCATATTAACCTTTCCAACAAACAAAGTTAGGTCATGGCAGCCAAGAGCGTCCTAGGCCAAATATTCTAGTAAAGCAAATTGGATTTCCAACAAGATATATATTGAAACCTTACAGGCCAACATTTTTATTTCCATTGTACTACAAAAAATGCCAGTAGAAGCATAAGAATTGCTAGACCTAATAGAATGACTTGGTTTCAAACACTAATAGAATCCATATTATCAAGAAATAATCAGATAATAAAGTTCATATCATAAAAGCCTTAACACAAGAAACATAATTTTCATATCAAAATTGCCAACTAGCCAAATCCAAAGCAAACGAGATGCTGTCTTGTTTTTTCTTGATCAATCTACAGCTTTGTATATCTCTATTAATCATGGCAACACAACCACAAGAAATCAAACGAATAAAGAAACATGTACACTCAATCAAACAAGCCCTCTCAAGCCACAGATCCCCAGACCAAGCTCAACCCAGATACCAAAACCATCAGAACTTCAAAACCCATAAAGAAAAACAATATTCATAAACTTAAACTTACCACTATAATTGACAAGAGTAGGCATGGTTGTTGTTTCTCACAAAAAATCCCCAAAAGAGAGCAAAACAAATCAGACCAATCACCAAAAACAGTACAGCCCAGATCAAATATAAGTATAGCTCTTCAACTACCAAATGCATTAGAGAAAGCGAAGGTCCAAGATCATCAAAGAACCCTAACAAAGTAAGGCAAAAAAGGGGAGAGAGAGAGAGAGAGAGAGAGAGAGAGAGAGAAATGTGGTGTGTTTGGTTAATAACAGATATATATATATATATAGTGGCAAAAATACATAAATATATTTGGTGGGGTGTCAATTCTTCAGAAACATTACGGCCACCACCCCCACCTCCCTAATCTTACGTCGTTCAATGAATACTTCCTTAAAATCGATTCTTGCTGTTATTTCTCGGATCTTGCCAGTTGTGTTCAAATTTCAAATCCATCACTATTTCCAACGGATCCTATTTGGGTTCAATTACAACTAATTTGAATTTAAATTCGATTTATCTTCCGGAATTTAAATTCGATTTTGATTTAATACTTTAACATGCATATTCAATAGATATTTTATTTTCAGACCCAAAAAATAAATAAAATTTAAATCTTATGTCCTATATGCCTTTATTAAAAATCATATTTTTAATTCAACAACTCAATGAAACTGAATTTTAATAAATCATATCAAAATTTCATTGAATAAACACTCAAATTCATCATTTAGTTATGTAAATAAAAACAATTCAATCCATAATACAATTGAATTGAATATTTATATATCAATATTGAATTAGTAATATTTTATATAATGAATTTGGATTCAGATTCAGATTCAGATTCATTGGTAAAAAATACTACCCGTATTGAATTCAAGCATTGATTGGATTTATATCACAATTTAATCCACTGACAAGTATATCAAACAAAAATACACCATAAAGCAACTGTAATTTGCTTTTTTCCGACTAGGACTAATAATTCTTAGCGCGGCAAATATGTGAGCCCTTGTTTCGATTTAATAGTTTTCAGTGTTAAATGGATTGATATGCAATATTTATTTTATAAATAAATCGACATAAAACTAGTTAAACATGACAAAAACCGAGCAAAACGCAATTTATGCACGATCGAATTCAACTATACACGAGTATATGTAGGTGCTTAAGAATTGAGTAATGTGTCACATACACGATTTGCATTATTTTATAAATACAACACGATGTATGACCCGTTAACAACTCTAATCCTAAGTTACATTTTGAATAGAAAGTTATGTTTATGATCTTGGAAATTCTACTGATAATTGCACATTTGAATAGAAAAAGTAAGTTTATAGAGGCGAATATGTCCCGAGGAAGAAGGCATGGACGACAAGATCGTGCACGGGCAATGAGGACTATCTCTTTTCATTAATTAGGAGAGCTCATTATGTGTTTCTAAAATCCATGGAAGGATTATATGAGATTATATATATATATATATATATATATATATAATAAAGTACAATACAATTCAAATTTCAAAAGATAAACAAAATAATTTTTACTATTTGTAGTTAAGATCTCTTTAAATTTCAAAAATTGTGTTTGAAAACTGTCCCACCAACACCTCTACCACCACCTGTCCCACCACCATCACCACTGCCACCCACCATCATTGTCGCCACCTTATCACACTCATTGCTCCATTATCACCATCATTACCATTACTACTATCACACCACCATCACCTCTTCCACAACAACCACTACCACCGCCCCACCACCACATTAATGCCCCACCACCACCACCACCACCGTTGCCGCCACCTTACCACCACTCCCACTATCTCATCATCATTCCAATTGCCATCACCATTGTCACCTATAGCTGTCACCATTATAACTTATTATCATCATCATCACAACTATCATCGTCTCTCATCATAACTTCTATCGCCCCACCATCACTACCACTGTTCACCCTGTTTTATATATATATATATATATATATATATATAACAAATTCATCTTACGGTCTCAAATTCATTTATCTGATGATCAAGAAATTACTATTTTTACCTTAATATTTCCTCTCAACCGGTCGACGATTACAGTTAATCTTTGAACACATCTTACGGTCTCAAATTCATTCACTCAACGATCAAGAAATTATCATTTTTTTCCTTAATATTTTCTTTCGGTCAACGATTACAATTGATCTTGGAACACATAATTTTTTCTGACATAATAATTAAATGGATCAAATATCCCATTAATATCATTTGTGTATTATAACATTTTGAATTTTTATAAGACACAATTATAACATTTTGATTAAAAAAATCTCATCAATTTAACAGATAAAAAAAATAAAGGTGTTGTTTAACACATTTATATTAAATATAATTAATTTTAATTTTAATTTTATTTATTTAATTAATTATTTCAAATAACATGTCTTACGCATATCTTGAATCAAAAGTTCAAGACTAATTTTTTTTATTTCTTAAGAAAATTCAACACTAATATATTATTATAAATTAATAATTTTTTAATAACTTGTAATAATTAAAAAAAATAATATTCTATAAATGATATTTGTAGCTTTTTTTTTTTTTTTTTTGATAAAAAATATTTTGACGATATACTTTTTGATAAATTAAATTTTTAGTTTTTAATAGATTTGACTTGATTTTGATTACAGGTATATAAACTAATATTCGATTTTTGATTACATGTATATATAAATTAATATTTTTTTAAGTCAATTCTATCATATTTCGTGAATTTATCTATAATATCTATAATATAAAATAAGGCAGATGCAACAAATTCATCCGACGGTATCAGATAAACTCATCTAATGACTACCAACATCTCTCTCAAAATCATTTAGATTGAATTTTACCTTCTTCTTTACTCTCTATCTGAGGCAGTGGCAGAGTGAGGAGGGGCTGGGGGCCACCCTAAAAAAAATATTTTTTAGTTATATATTTTTTTGGATTAATTGGGCCCACTGTAATGATTTATGAAAACAAAATTAATTAGGTCAAACAAGTTGTGTATTAGATCAAAAAAACAAAAATTTCATACCAAATCTCTTAAATTTAACAAACTAAAATTAATTCCTTAGAGTATTAGTATGATTTGTTGAAACCTCATTTGGTTCAAAAATTATGGAATATATAGCAAAAAATGAGTAAAATATGGAATTTGTAAGAAAATTTAAAATTAGAGAATATAATTTCTATTTTGTGTCAAACAAATTATATAATTGATCATTGATATATAAATTTTATCTTATTAATTTTTTTTTAAACAGACCCCTTTTATGTTTGATAAATTTTTAAGTATCAAATCCGATATAAAAATATAAATATATCACATTAGTTTTATTTATTATACTTAAAGTGTGTTCTCTCTATATTATATTTTTGACTCCGTCACTGCTCTCAGGAATCTTTATTCATCACTTTTTTAAATTAATCGGTTGATTTACGTTGCACCGAATCTTCTGACATATTCTGACATAGGTTATCCTGGTGTATGTATATATAAGCACAGCCTCACAGGTTTGTATCGATATAAGCCGGTCTATATGTCGCTTTCTCTGTGATGAGGCAGCTCTACTGAACTTGATACCATACTTATGATATGAACTCATTGATAGAATTCACTATTAAAAATTAGTTTTAAAGAAATCGTGTCTAAGAATTCATATAGAAGTCTATATATGTGGGGGTGCTTTCGTAAACCGCCACCCTGATCACCCTATCATCTGTATCCCCTTCCCTCCAACCATTCCCTGGTCACCATCATGTTCATGTGCAATATAGTATTTTCGGATCGTTATGTGTGAATTTACATCAACAATTAATGGGTCCAACCACAATAATTTACTGTCTATTAGATTTTTGATTACTTTTAGGTTTATTTGGTTGTTAAAAAATAAAACAAAAAACTTACTAATATAACTACAATTTATTTTAAAGGTTTTCATTTCTTTTTTATGAAAATACAACGTTTTCTTGTATTTCTAAAATATTTTCAAAACATTTTTGTTTTTTTACTAATCAAAACATGTTTTCAAAACGAAACTTTAAACCATGGTCACCACCAACCTGAACCCTAACACAAACCCCCCCCCCCTCCGCCCGTTCCATCCAAGGGTTCAACTATAATACCAAAAAAAATTAGTTTTTGATATTGTTCCTTTATTTTTTTACTCCAATAAACACGTGACATGTATAAAACTATTTCTATTATTTTATTATTTTTGTAATCAATAGTCACAATTAAAACTAAGCATGATATTCAACTAGAACCTATTTTTCGTATGATATTAAAAAATTAAATTTCGATACGATACCAAAGCCTTATCCTCATCCTAAACCCAAATCTAACATTTTCAACCCACCAACAAAGCAATAAAATTAGTTTTTATTACATAATCCTCACTCAACATATGTTATTGACTTGATCAAACATGGGACCAGTACAATTGTAACAAACGCTCCTGGGTTGCATCTACCCAAATTTTGTTTCTGTTGACTCATAAAAGTATGCATGGTTGATTTTTCTAATCAGATCAGCAACAGTCAATACGTGTGTCAGAGAGAGAGAGACTTTGTGAGACTTAGAAATTGTGTCACAAGAGAGAGGGGATGCATGTTGAGATATTGGTTAACTTGATATGAAATTAATGAACCTATTTGAACGCAACTAAGAACCTCACGGTAAACAATTACGATTGAGTTTGACATTCACGAATCATTATTAGCTCTAGTCGCCCGCGTTGGGGGGGAGGGGGGGGGGGGGGGAGGTTTGAAAAATGGACCATTTTTGGGGCTTCTCTCTTGGACAAATGACTCGGGGTTGTGCATTGAATTTGAGGTGATATTGATGCGTAAGTGCAGTGTATGGCCAAAATATGAAATGAGGCTAAGAATGGCTAAGAGAGGATTAGAATCAACGGATCTCAAGGCAACCACTGGAGACATCCAAATTAACCTTTGTTCCATCTAATTTCTCATTTATTCATGTCAAGA